GCTTAGAGATCACAGGTGGCCAACATGGGATCACCCAAGAACAAGGGAGGCTGGATAAACTGCAACCCCTTTTTGGATAATGTTACTAAACTGTTAGAGCAGGAGAGTGACATGGGCATAGTATATTTGCATCACTTGAAGACAAAGCTTTTCATTTTTTTCTTGGTGGACACAGTGGACTTTTGAGAGCTGGATGATAATGCAGGTAGTAAATTTAGCACCCAGAGATCTCAGATTTATCTGAAGAGAGCTGGCCTCCAGTGCTCAGCTTTCCATTTTTTCAATCAGTGACTCTGAGGGAATCATTGTGTTGAGGTTGATTGTGTTTAGCTTCTTGCAACAGAAACCCAATAGCCATGATTTAGCCAAGCAAGGTCAATTTTCAAGAAAAATATTTATAGGACAATTAACAAGTCCAAAGAAAACGATCCAAGGCTGGCCAATGCTTTATGGTATTCTTAGTGATATTTAATAGTAAAAGGAATGAAATACAGTTATGCACCAAATATTTTGCTTAAGGGTAGGCTGCATATATAATAGTGATTCCATAAGATCACATTGAATAGAGCTGAAAAAAATTCTTATCTAGTGAATGTAGCCATTGCAACAACACAGCACTGGACATTCTTCACATGCTTGTGAGGATACTGGTGTAAGCAAACCTACTGTGGAGCCAGTCACATAAAAAAATAGCACAGGGCTGGGGTTGTGGCTCAGAGGTAGAGCACTCACCTACCATGAGTGAGGCACTGGATTTGATCCTCAGCACTATGTAAAAATAAAGATTAAAAAAACAGCACAAATGATTATGTACAGTACACAATCCTTGATAATGGTAATCATTGACCATTGTATTGGTTTATATATTTACAATGTTATTCTTTTTATTGTTATTAAAATATTTCTTGTAAAACAGTCTGCTGTGTGATGCTGGCAACAGCCTCATCCATCTCACATTTATAGTCTCTTGAAAGCATCATTTTCTCTTGTGCTTGATTCCATCTCAGGTTGCTTTTGTCTTCATAGTCTTAGGAAGACAGACTCTATACCATGCAGTCCAGGTGTGTGGTTGGCTATGTCATCCAGGTTTCTGTAAATACAACCTGTGATGTTTGCACAATGAGGAGCTCTCCAATAATGACTTCTCAGAAAGTGTCCACATCATTAAGTGACTCATGACTATCAATCCCTGCTACAACACACAGGAACGTTAACTAAACTAGTATGCTAAGCAAATGAGGCCAGACACGGAAGTCCACAAGTTGTAGGGTTGCATTTATATGAACTGTCCAAAATGAGCAAATCCAAAGACATAGAAAGTAGATGAGCTGTGTCCAGGGTCTGGGGGTAAAAGACAGAGGAAGAATGGGAAGTCCATATGTGACTCCCAGTGGGTATAGGATTTCTCTTAGGAACAGATACAACCTTCTTGGGTGAGACAGTGGTGATGGTTGTGCAACTTTGTAACTATACCAGGAAACACTAATGCATACACTTAAAGAATAATGAATGAATGAATTAATTAATTAATAAATAAACAAATTTCAGTAAACTTCTCCATCCCTGCCCGTATGTTGCTGGTGGATGTGTTCCCTATCTTGATTGTGGTGATGGCCTGTTGTTTGCACACACTTACAAAAACTTACCACATAATACATTTTAAATATGTGAAGCTTATTCTATGTCAAATGTATCTCAATAAAATTCTTTGGAAAAAGAAAAAGGATTCAGGGCCTTGTCAGAGGATAGCAGGACTGACCATAGAGCATGGGGCTAAAGCTTGGTCTAAATGGCTTCTAAATGTACTACCGACATCGACAGGTTTTGAATATATAGAATTAGAAGCACCCCAATAAAATAGATTCCATTTAGTTAGAGGTGTTTTTGGGGGGGTGGGGTGTGGGCAGTGCTGGCCATGTGACCCTGGCCCTTGAGCATGCTGGACAAGTGCTCTACCCCTGAGTTACAAACCCAGAGCCTAGTTTTTATTTGTTTGCTTGTTTTTCCAATATGTGCTACCTGGAAGTCCTAGATTCTGAGCTCTGCACCCCTTCACATTCTCGTGAAATTTAAGGATGTTTTAGTTAATCGGGAGGAGACAATGATACATATTTGAGGTGACGGATATGTTAATCAGCTTGATTCAATCATTCCACATATAAATATATCAGAACGTCAATTTGTAACCAAAAATACATACAATTATAATTTGTCAGTATTCAATAAAATTAACAACAGAAAGAAATGTGGGAACTCGAATCTTAAGAAAGAGGGCTTAGGTGACGGTTTTAGTTGTCATTTGTTTTTGTCTTTTAATTGACATGTTAAAACACAGATGGCCTGGGGATTTTTTCTTTTTTTTAACCACACTAGGCAGTGGTTCTGAACAGAGTGAACCAATTGCAGAAAGCACTCTTGCTGCTAGGTGCCCAGAGACTCTCATTTAAATGTCAATATTTGAAGATTCAGTTCATCATGGTTCTGAAACCATGGCAGCGAAATATTCTGGTAGTAAAACTAACTTTCATCATTTACTAGGAGGAATCTTGTCTAGGGTCTGTATTCTCTACTAGATCTTAGAAGGTATAGACATGAACAATGTCACTCACTGCCTCTCTGGAGTTCTTCTTAACTGGGCCAATAGGATGTGCCATTGTATCCCCGCTGACACTTGTAGGACATACTCCACGCTTCAAAGATTAGGATAATGGGTGAGAGAGACTTCTTGGCAATGTTGAGAGCAAAAATACCTCTGGGGTCTGAAAGATCTGTCTGCAAATTCCAGCTTCTCCTTGAGCAATTTGCTTAATGTGTCTCCCTCAGTTTTATCATCTGTGGAAATTAAAAATAATGGCTACGTCTCAGGCAAAGAGTACAGTTGGCCTTCCATGTCCACAGGTTCTGCATGGAGGGCCAACATATTGTACACAGCTTTTTCCTACCATTATTCCTTTTAAAAATGCAATGTAATAACATTTACACTGTGTTAGGTATTATAAGGAATCTAGAGATGGCTTAAAGAATATGAGAGGATTGTGTAGGTTATATGCAATTATTATACTATTTTATATACAGGTCTTGAGCATTCACAGATTTCACTCTTTGTTGAATTCTGGAATTAGCCCCCCATGGCCACTGAGAGATCACTGAACCATAGTAGCAACAAGGTAAGAACACTCTGAATTATCGATTACTTATTAGTTGTACCAGTCAGAGACAAACCAAGAAAACAGAAGATGAGGCTAATGTTTCATCAGAGGAGATTTAATGAAGGATGTTGGTTATGCAAACAATGGAGCATCCATGAAGCCACACAGAGGCCAAGGGTCCTAGGGGTAGGTATCAGCAGAAAGTCATCACAAATCCTCAACTGCAGACATAAAACATGGGGCTATGTGTTTAGAGCCCCCCAAAGGAGCTGGATATGCCATGATGGGAAGTGGGTGCTGTGGTTAAATATGGTTTGAGTGTGTCCCCTACGGGTTCATGTGTTGGAAGCTGGTTCTCAGTTTGGTGGTATTGAGTGGTGAGACCTTTAAGAGGCGGGGCCTGATGGGAGGTAGTTAGGTTGTGGGATACCACCTTCAGCAAGGGATACTGTAGTTCTTGTGAGACCTGTTAAGTTTCCTCTAGAGTGACTTGTTACAAAAGTGCAAACTTAGCCCCTGAGCCTCTCTGGCTTCTTATCCTAAAAGTAACCTCTCTTTCTTGCCTACACTTCTACTGGGATGTGACACCCTCCCACACCCATGTTGGGAAGTAGCCAGAGACTCCTCACAAGAGCTAAGCAGACGCTGACACTATACTCTGGAATCTCTTGAACTGTGAGCTACATAAATCTATTTTCTTTATAAAGCGCCCATCCTTAGGAATTTTGTTACAGCAACATAAAATGGACTCATCCATGGAGGCATAAAGAAGGCATTTTGAGAGGATGCCTGGAGTCAAGCAGAAGTAGAAACATCTCACTCCTTCTTGCCTTCTTCCTTCCCTCATCTAGTCAGTTCTTCCTTTGATAGCATTTGCCTATCCAGTCACATGACTCAGACACTTGGGAAGCACAGCCTCAGGGGTAAGACCAGCTACCCAGAGGACAAGAGGGGAAGGGTGAGCATGGATCGGAGGGCTCACCAACCAGTACCAGTGCACCATGCACCTCGTAACTTATTCAATAAGTCAAAGAATGAGCATGTACAAGTGGCTTAGTTAAGATTTCCCTTTCTTCACTCATAATTTAACGTGAACATTGATTTCATTGTTTGACACCTTGACAGGTCATGTCTATGCTGTAGGTCTATATCACATGCACTCTCTGTCAAACTTCCTAGAAGTTAGAAGTGTCATCTGCCCTTTCCTGTGCTCTTCACTGGGCAAGACACATAGCCATGTTCTTGTCATTTGGCTCTGCCCTCTCCAGCCACTTCCTCTTGGGCACCCCTGCCTACATCTGCCTGTGCTCTGTGCTCAGGGAAGATGGCCGGATGTTGCCAGTGCTCCTCCAGCCTAAACCACGAGTGGAAGGCAGCAAGCCTGATGGTTGACCATGAAGTCTTTCAAGCAGGTTGAAGTCCCTTTTAATCCTACAGAAAGACCAATGAGTTCTTGGTCTCCCCTTACCCATTGCAGATATGTCCAAGACACTCAGTGAATGCCTGAAACTATGGGAGGTAACAAACCCTGTTTATACTGCTTTTCTTATAGACATAAAAACATATGATAAAGTTTAATTCATAATTAAGCACAGTAAGGAATTAACAATAAATAAAATAGAATAATTGTAAAAATATATTGTTATAACTATGGAAGTTATTGAATGTTCTCTCCCTCAAGATATCCTGCTGTGCTGTTCTCATCCTTCTGCTTGTGAGGAGCTGAGCTGATTGCAATGCCTGCTTGATGAGATGAGGTGAGGTGAGTAACAGAGGCCTTGTGATGCAGAGTGAGGCGGTTACATAAGGGTTATTTGAGCACAAGCACTGTGATACCACAACAGCTGATCTGATAACCTCAATGGCTGCTAAGTGACTAATGGGTATCCAGTGTGGAAACTCTGGACAGTGTTGATTCACATCCTAGGAGGGATGGACAAGGATGACTAAGGTTTTAATTATATATGTTCAATTCAAAACTTACAAATTGTTTATTTCTGGAATTTTCCACTTAATATCTTTGGACCATGGTTGACTAAAACCATAGGAAGCAAAACTGTGGATGGAAGTGAGTAGTGTAATGTCTATCAAGAATGACTCCTTTTCATAAGCCTATCAGTCTTTGCTGCCCTTTTTTAGCTCTTTCCACATGAGTCCTGGAGATTTCTCTTGTAACCTCAGTCTTGACCCTGTCCTGATGTAATTTGAGGGTGGAGAATGTTCAATATTACAGTCTCAGAGATCTGGAATGCAGTCTTGTTGCATCAAGTCCACAGCATCTGGCTCAGCGATGTGCCCTGTGGTCTTGTGTAGTCATTAGGTGTAGCTATACCTTCTTCTTGCTGGCAGTGAGTACAAAGAGGCAGACCTGATCAGACTTGACAATCCATTAGATGCTCTACCCTCCTGTTTTCTACTCTCCTTCTATTATCTTACAATTAGCTCTAATTTCAATTACTTGTGTTTTTATTGCTTGTATATAGTAATATAACCGACTTACTTTTGTATATTGGCATTGCATTCTGTGACTCAATCATCTCACCTATTAGTTCTGGTAGCTTTTGTATAGATTATTTGGGATTTTTTTTTTAGGGATAGTCATGTCATCTAAAAAATAGAAAACATTTTTTTGTTTCTTCCTTTATTATTTGGATACCTTTTTTTTTCTTGTCATATTTCACTGGCTAGGAAGTCTAGAACAATGTTGAATAAGAGTAGTAAGAGTAAATACTCTCATCTTGTTCTTGGGGAAAAGGCTTTCAGTTTTGGATTATTAAATATAAAGTCAGTTGCAGTGGGTTTCTGTTTGTTCTGTTTAATTTTCATTACCATTTATCAGTCTGAGGAAATTACTTTTAATTCCTTGATTGTTGAACAGTTTTTTTTAATGAATGGTGGTTGAGCTTGTCAAATATTTTTTCTGTGTCAACTGAGATTCTCATAAGTCTCTTGATACAGAGAATGACATGGATTAATTTTTGAATGTTGAACCAACTCCACTTCAACTCCAAACCTCTTCTCCATTTGAAAGCAGGGGCAAACATTATTTATGTCCAAATGTTTTTTATTTTGTTTCTAATGAACATTGAAGATGATATGAAGTAGGTAAAGCACTTAGCACAGCATGACACATGGAAAGCCTTTAATAGATTATAATAGATGTTATCATTTAATTACTTGCTCTTGCAAAAAGTATCCCACCCTCTACTTCTGCCCTAGGGCTGGGTTGTGTCACCTGTGGATGTGCCCGCTGTGTGAATCTGAGGCATATAGGACACACCTGCAGCCTACTGGCTCCTGTGTGTTTCACAACAACCTGGAATTCTTGCTGCTGTGCTTTCTTCCATGAGATTGGTCTTTCTGGCACCGAGGGCTTTCCTGAATCATCCTTGAGGTGGCCCTGTTGGCACACTGGGATCTGGAAGGTCTGACTGCCCTCACAGGCTGCCTCTGGATCTGGGCTATTTTTCCCATCATCTGCCTCTTACTGTCTCCGTTGACTCCATGTGTCAATTAGGATGGATTTAATAGAAAATTCAGTGCAAAGTCAATTCCTTAGCTCACACAAGCAGAAATACAAAAGGAGAGAAGGCTTATGACTTCAAGGTTGGCAGATCTAGTGACATCACTGAGAACTGTGTTCTTTCACATCTCTTGCCTATAGTCCTCAGTGTCAATCTAAGACACTAAGATTGCTAAGATTGGTTTGTCCTCTCATGAGTATAATACAGCATTTGGTGGCAATTCCAGCCACATGTTAACTTACATTCAGTGGGAAAGTTTCTTTCCTCCAACTATAGAATAATAGTCCTGCTGTCAGTGTTCTTGGGAGGACGTGGTTACTTTCTCATTTCAGACCAGTATTTATTATAATAGGATGTCATTCATGAATTAGCTTATATCTGGGTTCTTAAACTCAAAACAGGAAAGAAAAAATGAGTTAATTATAATTACCTGTTGTTTTCAAATTCTTCCGATCCCTGAAACTAGAATCAATTCCCTAACCTCACTGCTGTTGCCCTGTGAGGACAGAGGGGAGAGGACACAAGTGGCCAGCCACAAAGCCCACTGCCCCACTCCATGCTGCTGTTACGAATCCTGTACCAGTCACTACAAGAGTCCTAATGGATCTTTCATTTGTAGACTTAACTGAAAAGAATATCTGGGTGGAAATTTCTATATCACCCAGAGAAGAAGGAGCAAATACTTCCTAATCAAGCTCATTTCTTCCTGCCGTTTTTTCTTCACTGTCTTCTCTTTTTCTCCACCCTGAAGTATGGCTCATATTTGAAGCAATTCTCTGAAATGGAGCTTTCAGAAGTCACCAGTATGGTCTTAATTACTCAATTCAATACCATGATTTCTTCATCTGGTCCAGTGGTTCTTAAACTTGGCTCCACTTTGGTATTAACTGGGAGGCTTTAGAAAGCCCAGATGCCCAAGCTGTACTGGAAAAGTTCAATTATTTAAGAATCTCTGGGAGTGAAGCCCAAGCATCATTACTCTTTAAACCTCTCCAGGTAATTTCCATGTCCGCTGAGGATGAGCCCCATTGAGTGGCCCAGAAATTCCACCTGTGACATCTATGGTGTCATTTCATCCTCATTTGCTCAGAACCGTCCTGACTTTAGGACTGAATGTCCTGCTCCTGGAAAACTCCATAGCCCTCATCAAACCCAGACAGCTGGTCACATAAGTAGCTCCTGTCTCTGTGGTCCTCCACTCTGGCTTCTCCAGATTGGGATCACTGAGAAGTTTTTAAAAACCTACAAATATGCTTTGGGAGTGATATTGACCAAATGATATTGTTCTGTTGTGTGTATGTATGAATATGTAACAATAAATCCCATCAATACATACAACTATAATGCACCAATAAAAATTAGAAAAAAAGAAAAAACTTCAAAAACTTGCATGCAGGGCAATTCGTGCTAATGCTAGCTCTCTGCTAGAAGGTGAGCTGCCCATCATGCACCATGAAGGGAACTTTAGCAAAAAGAAAACCTACTTCAAGTTATTATATTATTGATGTTAAGTGCTCAGAGTTTTGAGAATAAGACTGACAATATTCCCTTTGCAGATCCACCACTTGCTAGCTGATAATTACTTCAGCCCTCTGTCCATGAGTTTCTTGATATAAAAGAGAAAGAATAATACTTATCTTTTAAAGTTGTAGGAAGAATAAAGTAATAATATAAAGCCTCATCTTTCAGCACCAGCTTGTTTCTGAGCCTCTGGAGCACCTTCAAATACCAGCAAACTCTCCCTAGAGACTCAGTCCTCCTCAAAAGGGGTTCCAGGTCTCCAAGGACCTTCCTCTTTGCAGCTTGTGCACTGGTCAGCTTTCTGTTCTCCAGGGCCTGACTGCTCCACAGCCCTACAAACACTTTGTCTTGTCAGTCATTTTAATTTAAGCCAGACTAATAGGGTGAAGTCATATCCCATTGTGGTTTTAATTCTTGTTTCCTGGGTAGTTAGTTCTCTTGAGTATATTTTCATTTTCATACTTGAAAGTAAAATGAAAGAGAATACAAAAAGTTAAAGAAATGGAGACAGATCTCAATACATCAGTGATGCTTTATTAAGAAGTGCAGGGGTCCATGTTCAAGAGGAAAATGAAGACTGACCACAACAAGGGTCTGAGTTTTAGCAGGGCCAGGTCATGAGAAGAGTTGGTTAGATCCTTTTAGTGGGCTTACTTTGGACAGGCAGGGAACTTTTTCAGATAAGGAAAATTGGGAAAGGTCAGAGACCTCAGTTTTCCTTTTCCCCCCAGAAGGTTTGTAAATTTCCACCTCCTTCATTTCAACTCTAAAAGGAGTATAATGAGTTGGGGCAAAATTTAGCTATTTCCTGCTGAAGAGGGCACAGTAGGGGATCCCTGACAGAGACTGGAAAAAGGATAAGGAGATGAGGGGTATTTTAGGCTCCTATGCAGTACTTGAAGTGGCTTGAGGGGGGTGTAGAGGGAGAGACCTTTAATGTCATGATGGGTGATTCCTTTTGTACAGGGCTCAGGAGAGTCACATTGTGAGTGGAGGAGGATTGAAGATGAAATAAAAATCTTCCATGATAAACAAAAGTTAAAAGAATTTGCAGCTAGAAAACCAGCTCTTCAAAACATCCTTGGCAAAACATTACAGGAAGAGGAAATGAAACATAACAATGAAAACCAACAGCGGGAGATAGTACAGTAAAGGAAAAACTAAGCATAGAGGAAAAACAAATCATGTTAAGTATCATACATAATCAAATATGGCTGGAAATACAAACCATATCTCAATAGTAACCCTAAATGTTAATAGCTTAAATGCACCAATCAAAAGACATAGGCTAGTAGAATGGATTAAAAAAAAAGATCCAACAATATGCTGCCTACAGGAGACTCATCTGATAGGAAAAGACATACACAGACTGAAGGTGAAAGGTTGGAAAAAATCATATCACTCATACAGACCCCGGAAGCAAGCAGGGGTGTCCATACTTGTATCAAATAAAATAGACTTCAAGCCAAAGTTAATCAAAAGGGATAAACAAGGACACTACATACTGCTCAAGGGAACCATACACCAACAAGACTTGATGATCATTAATATATATGCCCCAAACAATGGTGCAGCTACGTTCATCAAACAAACTCTTCTCAAGTTCAAGAGTCTAATAGACCACAACACAATAATCATGGGAGATTTTAACACACCTCTCTCAGCAATGGACAGATCTTCCAAACAAAAGTTGAATAAAGAAACCATAGGGCTCAATAAAACAATAATTTAGACTTAATTGATATATACAGAATATACCACCCAACATCAAGCGGATACACTTTCTTCTCAGCAGCATATGGATCCTTCTCAAAAATAGACCATATATTATGTCACAGGGCAAATCTTAGCAATTACAAAGGAGTTGAGATACTACCATGCATTTTATCTGATCATAATGGAATGA